GATAGATAGATAGATAGATAGATAGATAGATAGATAGATAGATAGATAGATAGATAGATAGATAGATAGATAGATAGATAGATAGATGGTGAGGTCAGGGTGGGGATGGACTTGGAGTCTTCTTTTCTAGACAAATGCTGATCATTTTACGTTGAAACGAGAATGTTTTACATTAATTGTTTTAACATCATTAATAATATTTTGCCAAAAGCAAAAATCTTTCAAAAAAGGTCTTTAACAAATGTTCCAAGAATAAAATCCACTCAGGTATAGACCAAATAAGAGCACGTGTAGCTTTTACAACTTTATTTTCTTCTTAATATAATTATGCAGCTATATATTCTGGTGGTCTAACTCCTTTTCCTATCGGCTAGGACAATGTACATTGTCTTCTTTTACAAAGACGTTAATGTTGTTGATGACTAGTCTGATTTAGAGGACGGCATCAGTAAATGTTAATAGTTACTTCTCGTAATCCACAAATCGTGATATTGGTAAAAAAAATAAAAAATTTTAATCAGCACTAGGGTCAAATTTGTAACTTTTCTATTGATGCCGTATTCTTTAAGTATAACATGCCTTTTATTATTCCATACATATGAATTGTAAAAACGTCATCTATTAGCGTGATGTATCTATTTTCATTGGAGTCATCCGAGAAGTAACTCATTTTGTCAGCACACCTCACATAAAAAATAAATGCATGAATACTTACAGTGTACGTTACACAGGCAGAAATGTTGGAGAAGCTGGGGGCTGTGAGGATCGTGGGAGGTTTGAGTGTGTTTGACGTCTCTCTCGGCTGATGGTGTCGGCAGAGAGGGCGAGTGTAGGCCGGGGACGGTAAAGGCTTGTTATGAGGATCACGGAGTAATTGTACTGTGCTGCTTTGGTGTGTGGACTGCTCTCTGATTGGCTGACGACTCGAGTAGGAGGAGTTCTGGTGTCACCTTGGAGTGGTGGGTGGGGTCTGGGTTTCCGGCGCCAGAGAGTTTGCGAAGGGAGGGGGTGGGGGAGAAAGAGGGAACAAAACAGAGAGAGAGCGAGCGAAAGAGAGAGAAAGAGGGAGAGAGGGGGGAGGG